TGTGTCCCTGAGCCCCAGCATCAGCCTCTCCCGGGCCGGGAAGAAGGGACGCCTGCAATGCCAGTCCCTTCCCGCTGTGTCCCTGAGCCCCAGCAGCCCTGAAGCCTTTTCTCCTCTCCCCCCATGCGCCCCATCTCCAGGAGCACCTCTCTGCCTCCATCCCCACCTTCTCTCCTTTCCATTGTGTCTGAGGGTCCAGACCTGCCCCTGGTTGTGGAGAGAGGCCCACGGGTAACACTGAGGTTGCATGAGGAAGCAAATCTCAAGACCTTAGTAAAAACCGAGGAACTAAACCAGCTCCCCTCTTCCGCTGAAAGGCGTCGGAAAGACCCCCAGCACTCCCTTAGTGCCTGTGACTAAACTTGCTTCTCCTCAAGGACTAACAGTCAAGGCTTTCCTTACTCAGTTTTCTCTTTCGATTACTGGATTCCAAAATTATTGCTTTTCATTATTTTCACATTAACTCTATGCAATATGTAAGCTTTTATGAGTTAGTCTTGGAATTTATCAGTTCCAAGATTATTTTTATGTGAAATACATTGACTTTCAAGCAACAGATTACAAATGAAATTTTGAAATACAACTTGTCTATAGGTTAAATTCAGCCCTTTTTTTGGACATAGTGTCTCCCTCTGCCGCCCAGGCTGGAGTTGCAGTGGCGCCATCATGACTCACTGCAGCCTGGAACTCCTGGGCTCTAACAACCACCTTCTGAGTAGCTAGAAGTAAAGGCCGGCTCCGCCACACCCAGCTAACTTTTAAATGTTTTGTGACAGAGGAAATGCTGCCAGGCTGGTCCACCCAGGCTGGCCTCAAATTCCTGGCTTCAAGTGATCTCCGGCCTTGGTCTCCCAAAGTGCTGGATGATAGGGTGAGGCTTCCTGTCCCGCAGAATCCTGCCTTTATAGTTTGAATTAAAGAGCAGTTAATGAGAAGCAGCAAAGCACTAATTAATAATATATTTTAAAATGGTAAATACTTCATACGATTTGCTACCAAAATTATTCTTTTAATTATTTAACAATTCAGAGAAAAGTTACAATCATACATGCAAAAAGCATCATATGGTAATGAAGATCCAATATCAACCAACAAAAAAGCCATTCAAAATTTTACAAAGCCTTTTTAATTTCATAAATTGCTAAGGTAATTCTTTTTTTCACGATTATCTGAATTGCCAATACACAATTAACTTCACGTTCATTAAATTAATGCTACATTAACTTTTTGATATTCAGTTGTAGGACAAGGCTGCCGATGTTATCTGACACCCAACAGCAAATGTTCCAAGTCAGTCTGTGCCACTCCTGGTCCCAAATCAAACTTTACTGCCAAAATGCTGATGATAGAGCAATCTAATTGAGATAATAGAAAGTCATGAACTACTTCTCTTGTTGATGATTATTCCTTAGCTTTGTTTTATTATTTACTAAAGATATTAACTGTTCTTAAATAGACATTGTCGATTTATAACTCCAATTTCTACACCTTGTTTTCTGATACCATCCCCTAGAACGTTACTACTTGGATAAGAATTCTTTCTATGATCGTGGAACTTGGTTATCTGTGTCTCATCACCTAAGTTTTGCTGTATACATGATAACTTTAGGGAGCTTTTAATTTTCACTCGACAAGTTCAACAAACCATCCAGCGGGGTTACGTTGCTTAGTTCGTGCACATTTTTAAAAGGCTTTGAGTGATGTTTGACAGGGAAGACAATGAACTTGCTTATTGGCTTTACTGGAGAAAACGTTCTTTCAGATGCTTCAGTTTTACCACTCATTTCTTCAATAGCAGATTTGTCAAGATAATGCACAATCTGTTTTGTTAGGCTGGGAAAATTCTCTGAGAAATTATAGAGTGTATTCCATGATCGGTTTTCTAAGGTTTGCCTATAAATTTTCTTCTTCAGTTTATCATCTACAATTCCATATTGCACTTCAAAAGGGGCGTCTTGTATGTTGCTTCTGGCTGTAGGCAGAGTTTTTATCGGTTTGGGAGGAGTAATAAACTGATTACCAAATAAAGATTTAAAGAATTCACGATTTCTTTCTAAAACAACGTTTGTTCTTTTACATGGGTAAGTGTTTCCATTTTCCAAAGGATGAGGAAAAAGTCTGTTTTTTGCCAAGAGTAACTTTTGTATGTATCTTCTGTCATGGAAAACTATAGGATTTGTGTCATTCTGTTTCTGTGGATTAAAGAAAAAAGTACTTAGTCATAAAAATATTGAGGCAGAAAACTACATATATATATATATATATATTTTTTTTTTTTTTTTCAGTTTTTGGCTGGGCTGGCGCCCTACTCCTTTGAGCCACAGGTACCACCCAAAAAAACTACTTATATTTTTAAACATGAAAATAAAATTGTAAATATTCTAAAACTGACCACATAGAAGTATTTAATATGCACCACAGTAGCATTGAACACACAGGAGCAATGAACAGCAGGGAGCTGTCTGGGCCGTAACTGTGTGACCCTAGCAAGGTAACTTTCAAGACAGACTATCTCTGTAGCTTCCCCAGGGACTCTGTGGGCTCCCAAATAGCCTTTCATAAACGTATTTTCTGGTTTAAATAGCTAACACTGACTATTAGAAAAATGAACACATGGTCCAGACATTTTAAAAATACTTTTGTTTTATATTCCTTATATAATCAAGCAAATTTGATAAACCCTTCTTCATAAAGAAAAAGGAAATTCAGCTGGTACAAAGGAAACACCAGTTTGAGGGGAGTGGTTCTTAAAAAGAGCATTAAGGCTTGGCGCCCATACTCAGTGGTTAGGGTGCTGGCCACATGCACTGGGGCTGGCAGGTTTGAACCTGGCCAGGGCCTGCTAAACAACAATAACAAAAAAATAGCCGGGCGTTGTGGTAGACACTTGGAGCCCCAGCTACTGGGAGACTGAGAAACAAAGGCACAGGAAACTAAGAGGTAAGAAGGATTTACATGAGATTCCAGTCACTAGAACAGGTGGGTGATTATTATTGAGAGCGGGCCCTATCTGAGTTCAGACAGGACAGCCATGAGTCCACGTGTTTAGCAATAACAGACATTCTTATTACCGTCTGGGAAGTCACTGTCTTTGCCGGGCTAATGTTGATTATCTTGACATTTGGATTTTTCAGCTCATCTTCAATGCACAAGGGGAGCAAACTTTTCTCTCTTACTGAATGATTCTTACGTAATTTATAATTTTGGATTGATTTTTTTTCTGTAGTATCAAAATCACTTGTCTGTGGAGATGTTCCTCTGAAAATAAACACAAGATCAGGGAGACGTTTGTAGGGCTGATTTCAGCTTGTGGACACTCGCCTGCCCCCCTCATCCCTGGACGCTGCTGCCAACACCTGCACCGAGCTCTCTCTCCTGTTGACTTTCAGACTGACCAGAGCTCCCCGTCCTGCCTTTCCTGGAGAAAACAAAAGCAGAAGTAGGAGAGGGAGAATGATATGTGTGCCTCTTTGGATTTTGAGTCTGGAGGTGTATCAGGGAAGCTGGGGGGTACACCAAAGACAGAGATCTTTGCTGTACCCTTTGTTAAAATACTGGGTGAAGCTTCACGGGGCAGCTTCATTGCAGCATAGGGTGGCCCCAATGTTGCTGCGGTCAGGCAGAGAGAGGATGGAGTTTTTATTCTGAGCTCCTTTAGTTTTCATGGAACAGACACTGGGTTTGGGATTGCAGGGGGCTAGAATTGCAAGGCTGAGGTAACCTATGCAAAGGTTTGCACAGGTGATGGAAGGATGGCCTCATCTAAGGACAGAGGGCATGACAGAGATCAGAGGATTCCAGCCCGGCAGTGAGAAGCGAGAGTGGGCCCCATCGAGTTCAGACAGAACAACCACGAGTCCATGCACCACAGACAACCACTGTTGCAGAATATCCAAAAATAGGATCTGGGATCGCTGCCACAGCAGCAGTAAAAATACCATCTTAGAAAGATACAGAACAACTTAGTTAAACCTAGAGACTTGCTGGGCGCGGTGGCTCATGCCTGTAATCCCAGCACTCTGGGAGGCCAAGGTGCGTGGATCCCTTGAGCTCAAGAGGTCAAGACCAGCCTGAGCAAGAGTGAGACACCAACTTTACTAAGCTGGGCGTTGTGGGGACATCTGTAGTCCCAGGTATTGGGAAGACTGAGGCAGAAGGATCTCCTGAACTCTAGAGTTTGAGGTTACTGTGGGCTATGACACCACAGCATTGAACCATAGGGTGATAGAGACACTGTCTCAAAAAAAAAAAAAAAAAAGTTTTGTTTTTTTTCCCATTATACAGAGGATGAAGTGTCTAGAGAAAAATTAGAAATTTATCCAAAAAGAAAGGACGCTACTTTTTTTCCTCACTCATGTAGTAGTGTCACTGAACCTGTGTATCTGCTGCGGGAACCTGACTGTGCTCTCTGCTCGTGTCTCCATGTCTTCCCATCCCCTGGACTCTGCACCTGGTCTGGGTGGGATTCATGGCCATGAGCAGCCTCGGGGTGCTCAGTGGACTGTGCTGATCACGAGGCAGACCCCCCAGGGTGGTGTCAGCGCTGTAGGCCTGCAGGGGCAGCCTCAGCTGAGGCCAGCGTGGATCAAGGACTGCGTTTTTGGAGGAGCCCTCAGAGGTTGTTGGGTGAGGGCCAGCTCAAGCAGGAGGGAGGGTCAGGCCTCTAGGCATCTGCTGCAGCTCACCTGTAAGGACGGGCTCACCTGTAAGGTCCCGGCTCACCCGTAAGGATGCAGCTCATCTGTAAGGATGCGGTTCACCTGCAGGGATGCGGCTGAGGAGCCAGACCCTGTGCTTTACTCTGAAGACTCGGGGAAGCAGTCCTCGGAGGAATGCCTTAAGTACAAAGCGATGAACCACTGCCCCCAGTCTCAAGAAAACAGTTTTCCCTACCCAAATTCCTTGAGATATTTCAATCCTTTTCCTGCAGCCAGGTCCTATAGCCAAAAAGCTACTGGAATTGATGGATTTCTACTAAAATAAGGAAACGAAGTGAAGGAGTATAGTTTTAAATAATAATGGCCTGAGGGGGGTGCTTTGTACTCAAGAGAAGCAAAAACCTAACCCCTAAGTACACCAAAATGCACTTCTCTTGTAAGTGAATTGCTGGTGTTTCTATGCCTGGAATGACATGCATGTTTTATTGACTGAATGTGTACATTTTAGGAAGGAAAATGTATTTTTTTTTGTCTACAGTATTGAATATTTGTAATTGTTTTTCTGACAAAAAAGTTTCTGCCATAGCTTAATTCGTCTTTTCTCATGAATTTACAATTTCTAAATGAAGATGAGAAAGTAAAAATGGAGTGAGAAGGACAGATTTTACTAATCCAGTGATGGCTTGATTTGTCTTAATGAGAAGTTTTGTTTTTAATGCTCAGCATGGGAGCCATTTCTTAGCAAAATTGTTTGGAAAGACTAATGTCCTGCTGTGTTTTGGGTTGCCCCTGTTGTGTGAGTGAAGAACAATCAGTCTTGTATTCCTTGTAGTTGTACTTAACAGAGAATACTACATTATTTCACGTCTTCAAAAACATTTAAAATGTGACCTATGGAATCTTGTTAATGGTTAAAAACAAAATGTGAAAATATTACAACCTAAAATAATTAATAACGTCACAAGTGTTTCACTTTGACGATGTGCCTTTGATTTTTTTTTTTTTTTTTGCAGTTTTTGGCCGGGGCTGGGTTTAAACCCACCACCTCTGGCATATGGGGCCGGTGCCCTACTCCTTTGAGCTACAGGCATACCCATGATGTGTCTTTGATTTAACGGGAACACTTTTGGAAGGATACGTTACTTGTGTTTGTAATAATCTTTGAGGAGCTTAGAAATAAAATTTCTACTTAATTCATCAAAAAAGCAATAAGGCAGAATGAATTTATTCTTTTTTTTTTTTTTTTTTTTTTTGGTTTTTGGCCGGGGCTGGGTTTGAACCCGCCATCTCCGGCATATGGGGCCCATGCCTTACTCCTTTGAGCCACAGGCACTGCCCATAAATTTATCCTTATCTATTATAAAATAAAAGGTAGGATGTTTGCTACTGGAAACATCATTGAACAGAATAAAATATTAAAATTACCTTTCATTTACATAATCTTCCAAATGGCCAAGAGAATCCAATGATTTCATTTCCTTTTCAATTTGAGCTGAAATTAGAAAAGACCTTCATAAAAGACACATATATGCTAACAACATTTTAAAAATATCTTGTGTAAAACATTTTATAATTTAAAATAACACATGGAAAGCACCTGGTATAGTGCCCCACCTGGCGGACTACTCAGTAAACGCTTCCTGAGTGAACAAGAACTGGGAACGAATGAGGTCAAGTTCTCACGTTGGGCCAAGACCCATCCAACATAGAAGCGTCTTGGAGATTTTTTTGTGGAAGAAAGGCATTCCTAAATTGTCCAGTCTTTCTAACACGTGAGAGCATTAGTAACCAGTAGGAAGGCTCAGTTAAACACTGTCAGCAGACACCAATCAGGTCTTGCCACCTGGCAGGAAGGCAGGGCCAAGGTCGACCTCTTCCAAACGGGGCTGATCCTCACTCCAGCATTTTTCCACTTTCTTAAGTGTTCCCATTCACACCTGCTAATTAGCAACCACTTCAGCTTTTGCCTCATCCTCAGAGCCCCCTAACCTTTCCTGCGCTATAGCAAACAATCCAATTACTAGGATTTGTACAGTACAGGGGAATAAATTCTTGAGTCTGCTGTGTAGGCCACCACAAGACCAAGGGCCCAACACTCCAGCACCCTCGTAACCCCCAGCACAGCAGGTTACCCAGGGCACTGGGGGGAGCTCTCTTCTAGAGGAAGGAAACAGTCGATAAACAAGTAAAGGCCTCATGGCTCGTGAGTCGCTTGATAAGATGGTGCTTCTCCTTTCCACAGTTACCCTCACAGCTGTTATGGAAATTTCATTTTGTCTTTTCTGTTGTCAAACCTCCTCTAGACCTTTCTCCTCCAAGTTCGGAGGCTTTCACCCTTGCTCTGAGTGCATCTAAAGCAATAAGGCAGCCAAGAAAAGGAACGAGTAGCTATGCTTGTCAGGCTGTTCTCACAACGCTGCTAAGGCCGCGTGGAAAGCTGTTGATTTGCAGGGAGGAAAGGGATCCCGGGGAGAGGCCCCGCCTGCCCACCACGGACACTGATAACAAGCTCTTCTTTATACTGAGAGTGTGCCTGTGTGGGGGTTAGCAGGGATTTTCAGGGTAAATTCTAATACCTATTGGCTATTCCAATGTTGTTCCTTTCTCACAGGAAATGGAACTGTGCAATGATTTCTGGAATATTCTTTCAAAGTGCTTCATAGTGTAAAACATGGCAGATTTTCTCTGAGTCTGGGATAAAGCGTCCTACTCCCTATTTATTTATTTATTTTTTGAGACATAGTCTCAAGCTGTCACCCTGGGTAGAGTGCCATAGCATCATAGCTCACAGCAACCTCAAACTCTTGGGCTTAAGCGAGTCTGTTGCCTCAGCCTCCCAAGTGGCTGAGACTACAGGTGCCCGCCACAACACCGGCTATTTTGGGGTTGTAGTTGTCATAGTACTTTGGCAGGCCTGGGCTGGGTTTGACCCCACCAGCTCTAGTGTATGTGGCTGGCGCCCTAGCTGCTAAGCTATAGGCATGGAGCCCTTACTCCCCATTTAATAACCTTTGTCTCTATTTTTCTTCTTTTGTTATGCATTTTGACCAGGATAAACTTGTGTTTATGTTACCAACTTTCCCAGAAGTTTTAAATTGGGACTTTGATTTAAAAAATGCTATAAAATGCTTCCGTGGGGAGACTCAAGACATTTTATAAAGAGCGATTATTTTGCTGAAAGAATGGAACACCCTGTCTCTGCTCTCAGGGAACACTGCAGAGATGATGTGCCATCTGCGTGGAACCTTGCAGGAGAGTGTGGTGACCGGGGCTGCTCCTACACGGCCCCTCCTCACCCCTCTATTACTTACAGAACTCCCTGGAGGGGCCAGACACCTGATGACATCATGAAGCCCTTGTATTAACCAGCTGTGCAGCTGCCCTCCTGATGGGCTTCTTGTTATTTGAGGGAAGAAATATCTTTATTGTTTCTTTGATAGGCCATTAGATTTTCTTTTAATTGCTGCTAAAATTCTCCTAACTATTAAAGATGAACAGGACTCTATCGGGTGGAGATGTTCTGAGCGGAGAATAAATCAAACCACATAAAATGAAACAGCCCATTAAATATGACTTGAAAAACAGGCGTCCTCAAACTACAGCCTGCAGGCCACATGTGGCCCACTAAGGACATTTATCTGGCTCTCCAGGTGTTTTTGCCACTGCTGCCTGTCCTGCTTAGCAGCCGACTCATCCCGGAGCCCACATTCCGGCCCTCTAACGGTCTGAGGGACAGTGAACCGGCCCCCTGTTTAAAAAGTTTGAGGACCCCTGGAAGAGACAGAATAGCAGTCTGGACAGATCTGATATGCTATACTAAGGGACCCTTCAGGTGTCACTAAGTCACGAATTACTGTGGAATATCTGTATGATCAAAGGCTGGAATTCCTTTCACATTTTTAATTTAAAAATTAAAGATGTTTTTAATGCTTGTACCCTAAAGTTAGACACAGTTAGCTTTGACTTACTGCAATGTGAATGCCCAATTTGCACACCTGTTAATAAAAAAGAGTCTCTTTCCCTCTTACCAGCAATGGTCTGAATGTTAAGTGCAGGAGGAGAGACAGTGGGGCCCGGTGGTCCCCCACAGGCTTCTTTCTGCTGTGAATACAGAAGGCCCCAGGGCTCCAAATTCCCGACCTATACACAGGAAACACACACAGCTACCTTACAAAGTATTTCTTTCCATGTGTCTATTAATAAATTATTTATACTTATTTATTCATATTTGCAATATCTAATTATGACAACTAAGATCCATCTGGTTCTTTCAATACTTTTGAATACATACAAGTCATAAACATGTATGCACCAAATAACAGAGTTCCATAACACATGATTCAAACAGTGACAGAATCAAAGGGAGAAACGGGCAGTTTTGTAATCACAGGTAGATATTTTAATATCTCTCTCAACCACTGATAGAATAACTGGATTAAAAAAAATCAGTGAACTGAATGAAACTAAGACCTGAAGACCACCTTGACCTATTTTATACATAAACTTACATATTTACATATCAAAACATAAAGATATACTTTACAATTATAAAGATACTTATATATTTCTATACTTATAGAACTCTGCTATGTAACTGCTAAATACACATTCTTACATAGTACTTTCAATAAAACAGGCTGTATCATGAGCCTTGAAACAAGCCTCAATAAATGTTCAGAAGGACTGAAATCCCACAGAGTATGTTCTCTGACCACAGGGGCATTAAACTAGAAATCTGTAACAGAACAACTGGAAAAACTCCCAGGATTTCAAAACCCTATAACACACTTCTAAAGAGTTTGTAACTCAAAGAAGAAACACTAGGGGAAGTCAGAAAAATGATAGTGAATATAAGACATCAAACTTAATGAAGTTTCAGTTAATGGCATGTGATTTATTCAGTTTTCCAAACAAGAAACCTGGGAATTATCATAAGCACTCCATGGTACTTACAAATTCTGTCATGTCCGACGGTTTGATTTCCTTCTAATCAGTGCCCTCCTTCATTCTCACTGCTACTACTGTGGTTCAGTCCCTCAATACTTTTTTTTTTTTTAGATAGAGTCTCATTTTGTCACCCTTGGTAGAGTGCTGTGGCATCACAGCTCACAGCAACCTCTAACTCTTGGGCTTAAGCGATTCTCTTGCCTCAGCCTCCCAAGTAGCTGGGACTACAGGCGCCCACCACAACGCCCAGCGATTTTTTCAAGATGCAGTCTCGCTCTGGCTCAGGTTGGTCTTGAAGTCATGAGCTCAGGCAATCCACCCACCTCGGCCTCCCAAGTGCTAGGATTACAGGCATGAGCCACCATGTCTGGCCCCCTCAATACTTCTTACCTTGAAAATTTATGGAGATGTGGAGATGCTATATTTGGCTAAGAAATATTTCAGGAAGAGTCAAACAAGAAATCGTTGAGGGAAAAAGGTCTTACTGGATAAGCGTAGATGGGGTAACTCGTGGGGATATCAGCTTTAAAGGGAGGGGTCCTGAGTCAGTATGATGGGCCACGCTGTCGGCACACCTACTAAGACCTCTTCATAACTATGGCAAAGCAATACAAAAAAGAGCCAACTTGTAACAAGGAACAGGGGCCGGGCATGGTGGCTCATGCCTGTAACCCTGGTACTTTGGGAGGTTGAGGTGGGAGATCACTTGAGGTCAGGAGTTGCAAGTTGCAGGGAGCTATGATGACCTCCCCGCAGTCTAGCCTGGGTGGGTAACAGAAAATTAGAAAAGGAAGTAAGGATGGAAGGGCATGTGTTCTTATTAGCCTTACTGTACAATTTAATTTCTAAGATCATATGGATGTTACATGTTTCATATAACATGCTAGTAAATTTATTATGATGAGTGAAATGATTATGATGTTAGCATGCATATTTCTTGGGAGGCTTTCATTAAAAAATTAACCTAAATTAGCCATTTAGATAAGGGTGAAACTAATAATCTGGACAGTGAATTCTGTTAATATTTTTAAAAAGTATAAAATGCAGGAATATGCAACAAAAATTGTCACAGTTATTATCAACCTAAATGTGTATTTCTTCATATCTGTCTATATTAGCAATAATGAGGATTAACAAGTAGGTTAATACCTAATAGACTCTTTTTCTTTCTTTTTTTTTTTTTGGTACAGAGTCTCACTTTATTGCCCTCTGTAGAGTGCCATGGCATCATACAGCTCACAGCAACCTCCAACTCCTAGGCTTATAGGAGATTCTCTTGCCTCAGCCTCCTGAGTAGCTGGGACTACAGGCGTCCACCACAATGCTCGGCTATTTTTTGTTGTTGTTGCAGTCTGGCTGGGGCAGGGTTTGAACCTGCCACCCTTGGTATATGGGGCTGGCGCCCTACTCACTGAGCCTACAGGCGCCGCCCCCTAATAGACTCTTTAAAGTGATTTTCCCTTGCTGATTCCCTTGATCAATTTAACTCTCTGGTTCCTTGGTCCAACACACCCCCATGCCCAAGGGTAGTCAGTAACTTCTCAGCCTGTTGGTAACCTCTGCTCCAGTGATTATCAAGGTCAATAGTGTTGGGGGCGGGGCACAATTATAAGAGGGACTCTATCTAACAAACGCAATCAGTGTAACCTAACTCTTTGTACCCTCAATGGGTCCCACACAATAAAAAAAAAAAGTCAAGGTGTTGGTTATAAACCTGTTTATGGTAATTGCTAATGTAATTATATGACTTGATTAACTACAGCAAACTCGAGAAAATGGTGTGGATTACTCATTCAAAAATTAACAACTGGACTTATTAATAATGTGAAATGTTTTTATGCACGTATAGTTTTTTACAATGCTGTGTCTTAACTGACTTTGTGATAACTGGTATTCATGATCATGTCCAATAAATAATTTCTACCGCTGAAGTTTCTCCAGCAAAGAATATATTATCTTCCCTACTGTCCCCATACATAACTATTGCATGCGATAAGAGATGAAGTTGCTTTAAATTTTTATCATATTGAATCTTAAAATTCATTTGAATTTGGCATTTGTAGAAACGTTTATAACATTTTAAGGGCTAATTTGAATTTCTATTAAGTAATTATGAAGTATACAAATTAAACCTACCTCATCTGTGTCCTTAAGATAAAGAAAAGGTCCAACAGGTCTTGATTTTAGATTTTCTTCCACTGGCTCTACGGAAACAAATCCAAACAGTGATTTTTCATACTATTAAATTATTTCCAATTAAACTCCATAAACCATTTTACTCACTGGTAATGAACTTTTCAGAAACGCAGTTTAACAATCTTATTTGGTTATATATTCATTGTTTCCATTTTTAGAGCTAAATGTAACCTAGAATCATCTGCCTTAAAAGTGAATTTCTTTCTTTTTTTTTTGAGACAGAGTCTCCCTATGTCGCCCTCGGTAGAGTGCTGGCATCATAGCTCACAGCAACCTCAAACTCTTGGGCTTAAGTGATTCTCTTGCCTTAGCCTCCCAAGTAGCTGGGACTACAGATGCCCACCACAATGCCCTGCTGCTTTTGTTGTTGTTGTAGTTGTCTTTGTTGTTTAGCAGGCCGGGGCCAGGTTCGAACCCACCAGCCTTGGCGTGTGTGGCTGGTGCCCTAACCACTGAGCTACGGGCACCGAGCCTAAAAGTGAATTTCTATTAATAGACTATAACTTTCAATTATTTTCTATTCTACAATAAAGTGTATCTTCTTGGAAAATTATGGATTTCTAAGTAAAACAGAATCATATGTGTTATTCAAAGGAATCCTTTGGTCAATTCCTTTAAAAAGAATAATATTTCCTTCAACCTGGATTCTCCCATCCCCAATTATGAGTTTTATTAATCTGAATTATCATCAACTGGATTTTTTAAAAGTAAATATAGTAGAGGGGTCAAGCATGCAAACTTTGTATTTAGATAGCCTGAGTCCACATCCCACCTATTTTGTGAGTCCGGTAGCTTCAGTAGAATTACCTTCTCTGAGTCTTATTTTCCTTCCTTGTTAACTGTTGATAACAGTGCTCATCTTACAAAAATGCCATGAGGATTAAATGAGATAATACATGTAACAAACTTTTCTTTGGAGACAGAGTCTCACTCTGTCATCCAAGCTAGAGCATCATGGCATCATCACAGCTCGCAGCAACCTCAAACTCCGGGGTTCAAGCGATCCTCCTACCTCAGCCTCTGAAGTAGCTGGGACTACAGGTGCCCACTACCAGGCCTATTTTTTTAGTACAGACAGGATCTTGCTCTTGCTTGGGCTGGTCTCTGACTCCTGAGCTCAAGCAATCATCCCGCTTGGGCCTCCCTGAGTTCTGGGATTACAGGCGAGACCCCCGTGCCCAGCCTACACATAGCAAGCTTCACATGGAATCTGGTAATCCTTCATTCACAGGTGTCTGCTGGTCACGTCCTCTATGGGAGGCACCAGTGCCAGAATCTGGAATTTTTACTTCACCGCATGACACATGAATTTTAGTAGTACAGAAAATAAACAAGTGAAAAGGGAAAGGAGTGATTATACACTGAAATACGCTGTGCAGAAATAGCTTTGGTGAGGACAGCCACAGAGGATGTGTCACAGACAGGGTGGGCAGAGAAGGCCTCTTTGAGCAGATGACACCTGACTGGAGCTTGCAGCTGGGATGGTCAGTGTGAAGGAAGGAGGAGCGGCAGTGTGTGCCAGCGAGGCAGAGCACCCCTCCCTGAGGCCTTTCAGCAGCTGGACAGAGAAAGGCCGGTGCACCTGCGGTGTAAGTAAAGGTTGGGGCAGGGTAACATTGAACAAAGCGAAGGCCAGAACACACAGGATCTTGTAGGGTACAAGTTCCGCACTGTACAGCGAGAAGCCACTGCAGACACCCAGGAGATGATCAGTCTACTCTAAAAGATCACTGTGACCTCAGAAAAACATGGGTCTGCTGTCATCGTGGAGCCACGTCTTCCTGCTGAGCACATCTGAAAAGGCTGGGTGAAATATTTCTAAAAATCTAAATAAAGGCTCGGTGGGATGGCTCATACCTGTAACCCCAGCACTCTGGGAGGCCCAGGCGGGAGGATCCTGTGAGCCCAGGAGTTTGAGACTACCCAGAGCAAGAGTGAGATCCTGATTCTACTAAAAGTAGAAAAATTAGCTGGGTATTGTGGAGGGCACCTGTAGTCCCAGCTACTTGAGAGACAGGCAGGAGGATCACTCGAACCCAGGAGTTTGAGGCATAGTGAGCTAGGCTGAGGCCATGACACTCTAGCCCAAGTGATAGAGCAAGACTCTGTCTCAAAAGAGAAAAAAAGATCTAAAGAGCATCATAGAGCTGGAGGATAGATCTAGGAGAAGGAGAGAGAACATGGGGATGTGAGCTGGACTTGCAAAGCCACTTGTGCCCTCGGGGTATCCATCGTGGGAAAGTGAGGTCAGGCTTTGGAACCTTCAAGTTTGAAGTAGAACAAAAACCAAAACCTGACCACAGGTGGGATATTTGATGTGTCTCCTCCTTCTCTCCCTGACCTCCACCAGCACACATTCATTTCACCTGGGACCCGAGGCGTATAACCTTGGAGTGAGAGTAAACCAGAACAGGTGGCTCCTGCGCAGACTTGAAGCCCCAGCACTGACACGTGGGTGTTCCAGGGGAAGTAAAGCCTTGGCTGTGAGGAGGGCAGAGGTAAGTTCAGACAAGTACTGCCTCAGATACCCAGCTTAAAGGGTAGAAATCCTCTCTGGAGTAAGGTGCCAGTAGCACCCTCTTTCTCAAGTTGTTCACACAGATATTTTCCAGGTGGTGTCTAGCACACATGCAAAGATAACAAGCAGCCCAGGGTATACAACTTTATAAAAGCAAATGACAGCTGTAACAGCACGTGTGACCAAATCTTTTGAGAAATTAGATTATGGAGCATAACAGAGAAATGAGTCTATACAGGGCAAAGTGGCCTCAAGGAGGCCCAGCCAGGGAGTGTCGTGAGGACACTGTAATTGGGTGAGTGTCTGACCGGCCGGAGAAAGAAAACTAAGGCTACACCAAACACTCAGATCCTCTGAGAATCGGAAACGCTGGCTCCTACCTCAGAGACACAGAAATTCATAATGCTGAAAGTAAGTTTCTATTGAGCAAGCCGCTAACGCTTGACTTTTTAAAAAACGTTAACAAGGAAATTATTAGAGTTGAGCTAAAAAGAAACTCAGAAATGCTCTTTCCAGAAAAAACCCTATAAGCATAAAAACGTATTTTTATTTTGTGAGTTGTATAAGTTTTTCTCTATGATATTTAACCTCTTCTTAGTAAATTCTTATCTATAGTTCAGGCAAATGCTTTCAAATGAAGAACTTTTAAGATGCACATTAATAAATGATAAAATAAATAAAAGCACCCATTAATTAGAGTAGAAGTAAATAAATTTCATGAAGCATTGCCTATTGACTTACTTTCTGGTTTTTCTATATTTCTTTGAACACGTTGTGGTTTTAAATTTGACTTGTTGATATCACTCTTTATAGATTCAGGCTCACATTTAAAAGAGGTATACCTAGAAGAAATAAAAATGAATCTAAATTAAAATAACCAGAAAATTTATAAGACAAGTCTAAGAAATAAATTTGGAGAACTGTGGTGAAGTTCCAGTTATATAGATTTAGAAGTTGAATTAATGCTATTATGGCACAAGACTGGAACTGTTTGAGCAAGAGCTAAAAATATTAGTGAAAATCATTTGAAGTATAGGATTAAGGACACTCCGGGAAGCTATTGTTCACAAGCAGATTAATCCTTTCAGAGAAATATGCTGGACAGTAGTCAGTGAGATATTGGGGACATTTCCAGACCTGGATCAAAGTGTGCAGTGGAGTGAGGGACAGTTCAGACACCAGAAATGATCACAGCATTTATTTAAGGCAAACACGGATTTTCCTCCTCTAAATTCTTTAACTGGCGTTGATGGCACGGAAGAAAGATGTTGGCATTATTTCAATAATGTTTCTGAACCCTAAACACTAGGGCGACCACGACAGAGTCCTCCGGCCTCAGATACTCACTCCCAGCTGATGTCACCCAGCCCACACCTGTCAGTAGCGTCCGTGAGCTGATGTCTCCAGGTTTACAGTCCAGACTCCAAGCTCTTTAATACATATATATCCACCGCCTACATCCCTCCTGCACGTAAATGTTTTATACGTATCTCAGACATATTCAAAACTAAATTATTGACTCCACCCCCCTCCCTGTCTGTTTCTCACCCATCTCCATTCAACCAGAGGCTTATCCCAAAAAATGTGCCGACACCTTTGATTTCTCTCCCTCACTCAATCAGTCAGCAGATATCACCGGATCTTTCTTTAACTATATCCTAAATACAACCATTTCTTTCCTCGTCACTTCCACCCTAGTCCAAGAGCTCTTCCTCTTATCACCTTTCATCTGAACTACAACTTTTTTTTTTTTTTTTGAGACGACAGTCTTGCTTTGCTACCCAGGCTAGAGTGCTGTGTGCAGTGGTGCAATCACAGCTCACTGCAGCCTGGAACCCTTGGCCACAAGCAATACTTCTGCCTTAGCCTCCAGAACAACTGCAACTACAGGCATATGCCACCATGCCCAGCTAATTTTTAAAATTTTCTGTGGAGACAGGGTCTCATTATGTTGCTCAGGCTGGTCTTGAACTCCTGGCTTCAAGCAACACACCTGCCTCAGCCTCCCACAGTGCTAGGATTACAGGCATGTAACTTTGTACTCAGTCTAATCTTAAACTTTCTAATGGGTTTTGCTTGTTCTCTTTGGGTTATTCAGTGAATAATAATTTAATCTTTATAAAATAATGTATTTGGTCCTTTCAGAAAATTAAAATTTTTATCTTGTTATTTAATATCATCGGGAAGCACTTCTAGAACCGTGCAATACACTAGTGAGAACGGGCAAAGTTCTGTTTCTAAATTAGGTGAGACTGAGTCAAGGGTTCCGCTCTAAGGATGGTGCCAGCTGTTACAGTCTTGCTAAGGAGGTTTTATCCTTATCTTAACTGAAGTATTTTCAAAGACATTTGAAGGGCATACAGAGACAACCAGACGAGAAGGGGGTGAACACAGGGGAGCGTGGGTCTTGCAGTGAGTGTTCAGCTTGCACTCTTGACTCCTGCATGGGAACTGCCGCAGACTGAACTCTGAATCCCAGGCCTTCATATACCAAACAAGGGTAATATCGACTTGAAGGGATTTGTATAAGAATTATGTAAAATGAAGTTTAGAAAACCAGCAAACTGTGAAGGCCGTAGTAAGAAGTCAGAGAGGGCACTTTTTCTTATTCTTGAAATTTACTCCCCTTAGTCATAGTGGAATCATATTTATTGAATATTATGCTGGGTTTCACTTTTGTTAACATAGTAAGTTGTTGAGTGGCAATTATTCTGTTGCTATAGAATTGTTGACCAGGTAACTTTTTATTCCACAGCTGAGTAAAAAGGAGCAATGAATACCCTATATTCTACGAAGAGTCATCAGTAGTTGAGGCAAGAAATTCTCTTAAGCCTCTAAATACAGAAAACTGTAGTGGAATAAAAAGAAAAATGTCAGAATTGCAAGTCACTGACCTACAAGGACTACTGGGCATTTTCCTCTTTTCTCAGTGTGTGACGGGGGAGGGAGCTGAGGAGAGGATTCCTAAGGAATTACGAAGACGGGTTCCAGCAAAAGATAACGTCTGGCATCTCATTCCTCAGCTGCGCATCTGTTAGGGGCACACTTGCTGATTGGCCCCAGTCTCTTATTAGCTGTGTGACCTTGGACAAGTTATTTAACCTCAGCCAGACTTGCAGTTCTCATCTGTCAAATGGGCTTAACACATTGGGCTGGTACACGGAAGGAATGGGTTACGAGAGGTATCCACAGTACCACCAGTGTCCAGGTGATGTAAAGTTCTGTTGATCCTGCATCTTAGCACTTTCTCCCTGGGCTCTCCTCTGCACGTACAGAGCCTGGAAAGATCATGCAGTGTCACACACACACACGGTGCCCGTGACAGACCATGTACGACATCTTAGGCTCTCCCTTCTACATACACAGATATGCTACATTATAGGCACACTTTTTTTTTCTTTTTCTTTTTTTTTTTTCCAGTTTTTGGCTAGGGCTGGGTTTGAACCCACCACCTCCGGCATATGGGGCTGGTGCCCTACTCCTTTGAGCCAAAGGTGCTGCCCTACAGGCACACTTTTTCTTGAAGTAACTTGAAGTTGAAGTTTGAAATAAATCTTGCCACTAATTTGAGGCATTATAATTGAGCTCAAGAAAAGTCTTCCTTTAAAAATTAAGAACAGTAATTACCATCTACATTAGTGAAATATTATACATAATAAACATTTTATGAACGAGGAATATTCAGAAGGTTCATCTAGTATATTTTAACTCATAACCATTATAAAATATGCCACGTAGAAAAGATGGCATTTACTCTAGGTCACATAAGCTAAGACAAGTATAAAATAATGTTTTAAAACTCCAAACTGAGGCTACAGGCACTCATGAAAAACACTTTTTTGATTTGGGATCACACAACTTGTCTTCCGTGATCTTCAATCCTGCTCCAGATGTGGGTGCAGCGGCATCCTCTTCGAATTCCAAGTGAAAATCAAATGTCAAGGGTTTAATTAAACTCTTTTTTCTCCTTCCAGTCTGAAGTTTATTTTTCTGCAACAGAGCCAAAGTGAAAAAAAATGAGTTCTTTTTATGTAAGAAAAATCCTGTGTGGAAAGAACAAAAATCAATCTCACTCTATGCACACACACGTGTGCACACATGCACAGAATTTAGGTGGCAGACAATTGTGGAAAAATGTTGCAGATTGAAAATTGAGGACCTTATGCACCAGCTTTTCTTATGCCTTTGCTATGTGAGCTGAGCCATCCTTTCCCCATCTATGAAAAGAGTGTAGGACTAGAGGAGCCTGAAGGCTTCCTCCCAACTCCAAAATTTAGAATTTGAGGAAAGATCTAAATATTGTACAATTATAGGTACACAGAGTCATTGGAACCAAAGCTGAAGTGTCCCTCCAACCCACTCTCTGGTGCAGCCACACACATGGTGGGTCACACCAATCTTTATCCAGCTGCATGAACCAGAAACAGAGTTAAGGAAGCAATCAAATCAAAAGAGGACTTTGTTAAAATAGTTATTCAGATGGAGTGGACAAAAGGGATACAGCTAAAGGGTGAGTTAAGGAGCTGAACGTTTTTCTCTGAAAAATTATCTCAGGGCACAGTGCAAAGAAATAGATGAAAAATCTAACAGCAAAGTCAAAGGATATGGTTCTCCCAATAAAGGATTGAGCACATGGGGATTAACCTCCTGCTATAAACAGCTAGAGCACAAAACACATGAAAACAACTATTTTTGAATATTAGAAAACAGACAGAACAGATAAGGTGACTATTCCAGAGCTCAGCTTCCTCCCTGCAGTCAGCTCTGCACTGAGGTGCAGGCAGGGAACCCCAAGGAATTTGGTGGAACGCAAACCAAACCTTGAGGTCTTGATGTTGAGAGAAAGACTGCACCAACAATCACACTCTTGGGCATGCACCCTAGAGAAACAGAAACTTATGTTCATATAAAAACCTGTCTGCAGGCCGGGTGTGGTGGCACATGCCTGTAGTCACAGCTGCTCAGGAGGTTGAAGCAAGGGGATTGCTTGAGCCCAAGAGTTTGAGGTTGCTGTGAGCAATGATGCCAGGACACTCTACCCAGGGTGACAGAGTGAGACACTATCTCAAAGAAAAAAAAACCAAACAAACAAACAAACAAACCAAAAATAAAACCTGTCTGCAAATGTTCATAGCAGCTTTATTTTATTCATTTTTAAAGCAGCTTTATTTTTAATGGCAAAACCCTGAAACCAATCCAAAAGCCCTTCACTGGATGAGCGGCTGAAACTTTGTCCATCCATATGATGGATACTATTCAGTAAAGTGTTTTTCTATTATTTATAATAATAAAGCATTTGATTTATGCAAAAACCTAGATGAATGTGAAGGTCCATTATGCTTAGTAAGAAATCAATCTCAAAATCTTACATAATGAATGATTCCACTGATACAATGTTCTCAAAATTGCAAAGAGGGAAATGCAGATTATTGATTGTCATGAGTAGAGAGAGGGGTGGGGTAGGAGTATGGCCACAAATACAAAGAAGTAGCATGAGAGAGGTCTTGTATGTTGATGGAAAAGTTCTGTATCTTTGATTGTAGTGATACTTACACAAATCCATGATAGGATAAGATTGCATAAAACCACACACACGCACATGCAAATAAACACAGGTTAAAAGTTAGCGGACACTGAATAAAGCCTGCAGTCTAGTTAAAGAGCAATACGTCAGTGTCAATTCTGATACTGAGCTACAGCTGTTGAGGGAAAGTGGGTGAAAGATGTGCGGAATTATGAGCCTACCATTATTGCTCTTTATTTTTTATTTTTGAGATAGTCTTACTTTGTTGCCCTAGGTAGAGTGCTGTGGCAACACAGCTCACAGCAATCTCAAACTCTTGGGCTTAAATGATTCTCTTGCCTCAGCCTCCCAAGTTAGCTGGGACTACAGGTGCCTGCCACAACATCAGGTTATTTTGTCGAGATGAGATCTTGCTCTTGCTCAGGTTGGCCTCGAACCTGTGAGCTCAGGCAATCTACCTGCCTTGGCCTCCCATGCCTCGGCCTCCCAGAGTGCTAGGATTACAGGCGTGATCCACTGCACCTGGTCCCAGATTTTTTTTTAATCTTAAACAGGTTTGATATGTGAGTATACTTAACCTAACTTGCAGCTATCCAGTAGCTCTCTTGTATATTAAATGAATTCTCTACAGGATCCATTTAGATGACTTTTTCAATGAATGTGATTATTTACTTTTTAAAAATTAGTTGAAATTTTCATGGTAATGTATCATTAACTAAAAAATTATTCATATTTGAAATGTTAACTTTTTAATGATTAAATTGAATTTTAGTTTATACTTTACAAACCTTTGCTCTTCTGGTCAAGATTATCTTTGCTTGTTTATCAAGGACACTCAACTTCTCTAAGATTTTTTCTGCCATTGTCAGTCAGTAAATTCCTATTTTAAATGGAGGAAGAAGAAGAAATCAATTTAAATTTAAACATAGAACTCATTATTTAGGCATAATTTTTTTAAAAGACCCACTTTACATTACTATTGTATATAAATAATAGAGTTATATATGTCATAAAATAAATCATAGAATTATAAATGTACCCAAGTTTTTTCAACCAAAGGTCATATGATCAGAACTCACAGATGGGTATGGGCCTCATAATTTTTTAAATTTATGATAAAGGTGAGTCGAAAAAAGTTCAAGGTTATTATTCTGCATATGAGAACCAGCTGTGACCCATACTTGAGGCAAGACCATGTGGCTTGATTTACATCTATGTTTTTTTTATTGTGATATAATTTTAATGAAAGTAAATGCAAAGAACTCACATTTATATAATTAATTGCTTCAAATTAATTCAAAGGGTCAAAGATTTTAAAGATTCAAGGTAAAGGGGTGGGAAAAAGATATTTCATACAAATGGAAACCAAAAACACTTGGGAGTAGTTATATCAGGCAAAACAAAGTTAGTAGCAGTAAAAGGAAAAAAAGACAAAGAAGGTCATTATATAATATAAAAGATCAATTCAACAGGAAGAAATAACATTCCTAAACCCAACACTGGAGCACTCAGATTTATAACACAGATATTACTAAATCTAAGAAAAGGGATTAAAGCAACACAATACTAGTGGGAGACTTCAACACCCATTGACAATACTAGACTAATCATCAAGGCAGAAAGTCAATCAAGAAATAGTGGGCTTAAATTGGACTCTAGATCAAGGAAACTAACACATATTTACAGAACATTCTACCCAACAACTACAAAATATACATTTTCTTTATCAACACGTGGAACATTTTCCAGGATAAACCATATGTTAGCCCACAAAACAAGTCTCAATATGTTTTAGAAGATCAAAATCATATCAAGTATCATCTCAGATCATAGTGGAATAAAACTAGCAATCAATTAAAAGAGAAACTCTCAAAACTGAACAAATATGAGAGAGAGGGGAGGGGAGGATGGATATGGGAGGAGGGAGGGGATTTGGGGGACCTCACCTAATGTGCATGATGCAATGGTACATTCCAAAACTATTAAGAAATAACTATAATTGTGATGGATGTGTTAGTTCAATGTAAACATTTCATATTGTATATTGAAGCAGTACCCTGAACCCCATAAATGCATCAATGTACAAAGTTGTGATTTAATAAAAAATAATTACTTTTAAAAAACTGACCAAATACATGGAAATTAAACAACCTGCTTCTGAACAATCTTTGAGTCAATGGCAAAACCAACATGGAAATTTAAAAACTTTTTGAAATGAACAAAAAATATGAAAACCTCTGGGATGTCAGAAGGAAAGTTTATAGCACTAAATGTCTACATAAAAAAGATGAAAAGATCGCAAATTAACAACCTACTGTGGTACCTCAAGGAACCAAAAAACAAGAATTAGGCAAGCCAAAAGCTAGCAGAAGAAAAGAAATAAAGATCCGAGCATAAGTAAATAAAACTGAGATTAAAAAGCAGACATTACAAATAATACCACAGAAATACAAAAGATCATTCAAGACTAGTATAAACAGCTCTATGCCCACAAACTACAAGACCTCAGGGAAATGGATACATTCATAGAAACACACAACCTTCCAAGATGGAACCAGGAAGAGACAGAAATCTTGAGCACATCAGTACCAAGAAATGAGAGTGAATCAGTAATAAAAAAATTCTCCCAGCAAAGGACGAGATAGCTTAACAGCCAGATTTTACCAGACATAAGAACTAGTACCAATCCTAATGAAACCACTCCAAAAAATCAAGAAGGGAGGAACTCTCTCTAACTCAATCTATGAAGATGGTAACACCCTTGTACCAAAGCCAGGAAAGGACACAACCAAAACAACAAAATAAATACAGACCAGTATAATACGTCTATCCCTGGTGAACGCAGATGCAAAAATCCTCAACAAACTACCAGCAACAGAACAGAACAGAACAGAACAGCACATTGAAAAGATGGTATGTCATCATTAAGTGAGTTTGATTCCAAGGAAGCAAGGATGGTTCAACATATGCAAATCAATAAATGTGTTCATCACATAAACAAAAACAATGACCATCTCAACAGCTGCAAAAAACAGCATTTAATAAAATTCACCATCCCTTCATGAGGAATAAGCAAGATGACCTCACTTAAATATGTACAGGTACGTCTGAAGCACTCTTACGTATTTACAGTTGGGGAAAACACTGTCACCTGGAATATAGGGTTCTTATGTGGTCATAGAAGCTTAACTCATAGAATCTCAGGGTTAGTTTGGGTCAGCAGTTTTCACGCAATTCCATGAACGGTGGAGCTACATGGATACAAGAGGCCCAGACCTTTCTGATCCTTGCTTTGATTTCCTTTGCCCTCGTCCTTCAGACCTTCAGGTGCTCACTTTCCCTCCCCTGGTTTGCTATACAATACTCCCCTCCTAATTTGCCTGCTCCAAACTTCCTCCTCATCCTTCTAATATTGAGTCTTCAAAATGCTGGCAGGGCTGTCTTGCTTCAACAGACTGCTGACCCACTCCAGCTCCAGCCCATGATCCTCAGCTTGCTCCTCACCACGGGCAGAATGACACCCAGATTCTTCAGATGACATCGGAGACCATTCCAGAGAAGACCTCCCAGTGTCTGGCTTTAGGATGAGTTTACCTTTCCAGCTCATCCTCCCTCTCCCTTCCTCTTGTGCCACATTCTCCCCTCTTAATTCCATGGACGCAGCTGCCCTTTTCCCAAGCATGTCCTTCCCTCGTGCTTTTCCTTCTACTCAGAATCTTCTTTCCTTTTGTCTTCCAGTCAAAAGCCTACGTTCATCAGATCCTGGCCTAGAGGCTGCCTCTGCCGTGACACTGTCCTTGGCATTCTCTCATTCCTGATGCAATGGCAGTCTTTTTCCTGTGCTTCTGTTGTATTTTGCTCTTTGTTACAACACCAGGCATATACTTTGTGCCTGAGAGAGCTGATCTTTGACAAATCTCTTTCTCACTGTGCTGAAAGCCCACTTAAAGCAAGAACTGACTTACCTCTGAATCTTAGCACCAGACAAAGCCTTTTATATTTAACTGGAATTTGAAAATTATGACTTAATTTGGGGATATCTCTGAATATAACTTTTAAGGAAGAATAATTCCTTAAAAGGAATTATATTTTAAATTATAAAAAATATAAATTATATTTTTATTGGAAGGTAAAGTAATGTAAATATAGATTTGAATGAATTATTATAAAATGTGGCTCTTGCCAAATTTAAACACAACTGTTTTGAAAGGAAACTTGGATTTATGTTCTTAATTTCTAGCTCAGTAATGACAGTTTTTTGAAAAAGAATACAAAGAAATAGAGAATGCCAATTTGTGAAGAATAAACCCCAGCCACTCTCACAGTAAATCACTTACAGGCCTTACTGCAAAGCCCTGTCCACAACAAGGACTGCAGGTCAATATATTAGCAACCAGAGGCTGAGTCATTAACTAAAAGAACAATATTGAGCCCCAAAGTAACTATTTCATTTTAATCATCTTTGGGACTGAAAACAAAAAGAAAACCCAGTGCTATCCACATTATCACCCTGGTGACACATCTTCTTCAGCAAGTTGTGAACAACTCAGAAAACTGAGAGTCTCTAAACTCACGAACTAAAGACCAGGACTGAACAATTATCTGGAAAATGGAGACAAACTAAAATTGACTTTCGTTGTATAGCTTTGTCAGTTCAAACATTTACTCT